AAACAAGGTGCTGTAAGGTGCTTTGTAGACACAAATGTTAGTGAATGATATAACTATTACTTTACGCTGTAATTCTGAATCACTCTGTTGGTAACACATGAGTATCAAGACATTTGTGGCAACAAAACCTACACACAGCGCTGTGACCAAGTATTTGGCCCTTCCTAATGTCGTCTATTTTTTGCACATTTCTCCCACTTTCATGTTCCAGAACATCAAACTAATGTTTTAAATCATTTTATATTAGACAGAATCCACAAACACAAAATACAGTTTTTAAATGATTTATTGAAGATTTACTGAAAATCTACATCACCCCTGTGAAAAAGTAATGGCCCTCTAAACAGAATAGTTTGAATTCGGCCACATTAGATAGTTTCCGATCACGAGCTGCCCTTTCATGGTCTTGCCACAGTATCTCAATTGGATTCAAATCCGAACTTTAATTCAGCCACTTAAAAACCTTGATTTTGTTCTTTTAGAGCCAATCAGAGGTGGACTTGTTTGTGTGCTTTGGGTCATTGTCCTGCTACAGAACCCTTTGGAGCTTCAGCTTTAGGTCACAAACTGATGGCTGATATTCTCCAGGAGGATTTTCTGATAGAGAGCAGAGTTAATGTCTCCGTCAATCATGAAAAGTCATCCAGGTCCTGTGGAAGCAGGTAAACCATCACACTACCACCACCAGGTTTCACTGTTGGTATGATGTTCTTTTTGAGGAATGCAGTTTTAGCTTTATGCCATGTGTAACTGGACGCATGTCTTCATTTTTTTTTTTACAAAAGCCAGATGAGTCTTTATGTTCATTTTGGTCAGGAGCAGTTCTTTCCCAATGTCTTCCTTATTGTGGAATCATGTTCACTGACCTTAACTGAAGTAGGTGAGGCCTGCAGTTCTTTTGACGTTCGTCTGGGTTCTTTTGTGACCTCCTGGATGAGATGTCAACGCGCTCTTGGAGAACATTTGGTCAGCCGGCCACTCCTGGGAAGGTTCACCAGTGTTCCATGTTTCTCCATTTGTGGATCATGACTCTCACTGTGGTTTTCTGGAGTCCCAGAGTCTTAGCTATGGTTTTGTAAATTTCCAGACTAATAAATGTCAACGACTTTGTTTTGCATATGTTCCTGAATCTCTTTAGACAGTGGTAGCATGTGCTGCTTTTTGAGACCCTTAAGCTACTTCACAACGCCAGACAGGTTGTATTTAGGTGATGTTTAGATTCAACAAGCCTAGCAGTAATCATACATGGGTGTGGCTGGTAAAACTGAACCCAGTTGCCAAATTAATTTGGTCATATGGTAGATTCGTAGCTAAGAGGGGCAATTACTTTTCCACATAGAGCAGGTGGGGATGGACAGCATTTTTTCTTCAATAAATGAAATCATTATTTTAAAATTGCATTTGTGTTTTCTTGGTTTATCTTTGCCTTTTTATCATCATAAACATTTAAGTGTGACAAATGTGCAAAAATTGAAGATGTCTGTAGTGGAGCAAACACTTTTCTACAGCATGTATATAGAAGGCATCTCTTCACCACTGCTCAGCAAGGGACTCATTACTGGGCAAACAACGAGAGGAACATTTGTGTGAAATTCATTGTAACTTTGAAAGATAAAATACCAAAGCTTCAGACATGCCTGAATTTAACTTTGGAATGCATTTTTACAGGGAACAGGGCTCTGCATCATTGTCTCCCATTTCTTATAGTGTTGTATTTTGAGGGCAAAAACTAGGCCACTATGGAGAGTGGGAATAACTATAGCAGTCAAGACTTTTCTCATGTACATATGGAAAACGTACTCCTTTAAAACAAACAAAAACTTACCCATTCTATCAAGATTTTTTTTGCTGTTGTATTTTTTACAATTTTATTATGTTGTTGAACAAAATGGAAGACATCAAGACTATGAAATAACATTTAGCAAGTCAGGCATTAAGCAAAAAAAGGTGAAAACCTAGCAAAAATCTCCATTATTTTTTTTAGATTCTTCAAAGCAGCCATTTTTCTCCTGAATGACTGTTTTACATACGACTGGAAACCAGCTTCATGAGGTCACCTGGAGTGTTATTAACAAGAGCTGAGCTTTGTTTAAGGATAAGTGGTAGAACTTCATCAGTTTGTCATCAGGTTTTCATGGTCAAATTGCTGGAAAGAAACTCTTATTGAGGGAGACTATAGGTGACACTGGGCTATTAAATCAGTCTCCATAATTCAGTCTCATCAAAAACACCACCTTCAGTTACAGAAAGCAAATCAAAAGATTACACCAATTTGGAGGTCTAAATAATATTTTTAACTTAATACCTACAAGAAGGATTTTGAAATTCTGAATAGTAGAGGTTGGCAACATTCACACTTATGCAAGATTAAATAGAGCAGCATCTATATTTAAGCACATTTATTTAAAAAGAAAAAATAATACACAATATATACAAAGTAATCTATTTGTAACTATTTGTACTTAACTGAAGAACTAAAAAGAGTTTGTGTGGCGTATGTATATTTGTCACGTGTCGTATACACGCAAGAAAGAATTCTTTGTTCTGCTTTCCTACATACAACATACAGAGCAGCACAAGAACATGTGAAGCAGGACTTTTAAATGTGTTCTCCATGCACACGTCTGTTTACAGTCAGTTTATAGCATGTGAATGTAATCTGTGTAGAAAAGAGAATGTTAGTTTGCATTCAAGACCTCGCATCTGTGTGAAGCGGAGCTAACATAAATTAGGGTGGCAGAGCCAAGGACAGTTTATACGAGGTGTGTCAGAAAAGTTTCAGAACTGGTGTCACAAAAGGTATATTTCAGATTCAAACTAAAAACTACAAGTTTCCCCCTTCCAAGTAACCCCCCTGGAGGCTAACACACTTTCCCAGCCTTCTCTGCCACGCCGCCATGCACTACTGGAAGGATTCTTCTGGGATCCTCCACAGCTCTGTCATCACAGCCATCTTGATGTCGTCCATGTCTTCTAAACGGGTCCCCTTGATGACCCCCTTGAGCTTGGGGAAGAGGAAACAATCCCACGGTTCCAGGTGGGGTGAGTAGGGAGGTTGCTCCAGCACGGCGATGTTCTTCTCAACCAGGAACTGTTGGACACTCAGGACATTGTGAGCAGGCACGTTGTCATGGTGAAGCAGCCATGACTTGTCCTGCCACAACTCTGGCCTCTTCTCTGAACGAAGCAAACGCCGCAGGATCTCTTTGTAGACGTGCTGGTTGATAGTCTGAAGAGGAAAACTCTTAGTTGGTAGTTTGGTTTTGCAATACATCTTTTGTGACACCAGTCCTGGAACTTGTCTGACACACCTCGTACAGTCTATGAAAGAAAAGAAGTCCTTCAGCTCCGCTCAATGTCTGTTCTGTCAAGGGTTTTTGTTTTTTGCTAAGACAGACCAGGAAGATGTATAGTTTAAACAATGAATGAGGCCCTGCTGAGCAGTGTTCTGATAGTGGAGGTTGGAGTTGGGTTCTCCTTGCAGAGTTTGCACAGTTAGCAGGTTAGCGCTGACTTTTGTTGTTGCTCTTGTTGCTTGTAGAGCTAGCTTGCAGAGCTAGCTTGCAGACTTTGTAGCTGCTGGCATTAACTAAACTAGTTTACACTCAGTTAGTGAGCCATACCTGACTAACCAGGTGTCTTTAGACAGGCTCTTGTGTCGCTGCCATGGAGAAGATTTTGGTGCATCTCCATGCAGGAGGAGACCTCTGTGTTCCTGACCTGTTATGAGAGGATGGCCACGTGATCAGGTCACAGAAAGTGACTGGAGGAGCCGTGTCAAAGCTCAGTTTGAATCATGCAAATGAACAAATTCATTGGTGGCGATCCTTGTGCCACTTACGACCAAAGACCAAGAAGAGGAAGAGAACTGCTGGACTGAAAACACAATAAATTAGACCATTGGAAATCTGGACTTTGGTCTGATAAGTCCAATGTCTTGGTAAGGGGACAGTGTGAAGACACAATATCTGCAGTGATGCTGTGGTGACATAGAGGGCTTTGCCAGGGACACTGATAAAAATGAATCCAGAATTCAAGGAAACCGAGTTTCTGTCCTGACACTGATTAAGCCCCTACAAACAAATCTCTGTTCATTAAAATGACATATTTAGAAGTTTTTCTCCATGAGAATAATCCTGTCTTGTCTTCAAATGGATTAGATGTAATTACACCTTAAAAACTTTAACCAACAAGCTACTACACTATTATACAACATCCAATCTAGTTGTCCTCATTTGTGCTTCACCAGTGCCAGTATATATAAAAAGACCAGACAGCAGAATGATGCAGCTGATGATGGGCCTTCCCCAATCATTCAGCTGAAATCATCAAATGCTCTTTATACATTATGTGTGAACTCTTTTACGACTGTTGGAAAAGCTCCAGGTGACGACCTTGTAGACATGGTTTAAAGCATGAAGAGTGCAGAAAGCTGTTATCAAAGCAAAAGGTGGCTACTTTAAAGAATCTAAGATATGAAGAAATTGATCTCTTTAACAGTTTTTTGCCCACTACATGCTTGTATTACTTCATTGTTTTGATGTTTTCAGAATTGTTCGACAAAGAAGAAAATACTAAAAAGAAAAGCAAAAATCCTTGAATGAGTGGGTTTGACTGTTACTGTAAGCACTGAAACATAAACAGTGACAAATTCATAGAAAAACCATTCACTTGTCCTCTACTTGATGGTAAAGGTGACCATCAATGCAAAGTTGTTCTGCGTGTTCAACTATAACCTACAGCACTTTAAAAAAAATCTAATTGAACACCGATGTGAGATTTTGGACCGACGTGTTTGACAGTCCACCACTGTCATCCTTAAAACACAAACTGGTGAAATTGCTTTTGGACAAATGGTGTTTTAACACTCCAGTAGAGTTCCAAAGAGTTGCTGAATTGATGCAAGGTGGTTTTTCCTTGAATTTGTCTCCGTCTCATTCATCTCTATCTAAATGCATTATTTTCATTTGATATTCAGCTCAAGTTAGACGACAGACCCATCACTGCTGTATTCCTGTATTCTTTCACTGATTGACAGAGGTCACATTTTTGCTCATAGACATAGTAGCTAAAAGTAAGATTGGTTCTAAGACAAACTAGCTAGCTAAGGTGAAGTCTACAGTGTTGGGGGTCAATATAGTGTCACAAGGATTTTCCTGTAGTAAATAGTGGACCAGAATTGTGTTGGATGATTAGGCATCAGAACGATGCTTGGCCCTCTCTTTGGCTCTTCTTCTGGCTCGCTCCAGTTCAGCCATCACGGGTAGGGGACCCTCATACATGTTGGTCTTGATTGATCGCAGTTTCTCCTGGTAGTCCTTTGGCAAGCCGTTCTGTTCTGCTCCCATCACAATCACCTGCATTCATTGATAAGAATATATTGATTGTTCATAAACTACTCCCTTATTCTCTCATAATAGCAACTACAAATCCACAAATCCCTAAATTTCACTGTTTAACAATTCACATGTCTGTATCCCCTTCATTTACTGTCTAGACCAGCAGTAAGGTATCTGTGGTCCTTGGCTGTTACATTACATCCCCATATGTTCACATACATAAAACTAAAGCTCTGGCTCATGTAAACCACCTTGAGACATTTTCAATTGGTGTTGGTGCTAAATAGACCAAATTTAATTGGCATTTGTATCTTAGACCTTAGTGGGAACCTTTACTTCACTGGACACTGCATTGTTTTGCATTGTTACAGCCATGTGATTTCCAGTGTGTTAGCATCCACAATAAACAACACATTTGAGAACACCCAGCAGCTCACACATGGACACGAACCAACACAACACAGGGAACAATATAGGGGTTACACTATGGATGACAAAGGTGTTACCACAAAGGCATAGCGCTAGGCATGTTTGGAGCTCTCACATGAGCAAAAGAACAATCTGGCTTTCAAGCTCATGTGCTGTCAGATCCGTAAAACGTAGCGTGGCATGGTGTGTCCTGACTGTTTAGACCTGTTAGTCACACAGTCAGGTGACGAGGGGTGTGAGCAAACTAATCCCTCTTCTAGATGCTTCACACAGAGAAATGGAGTGAAAAGATAATGATGTACCTGACCTGATTCATGATCTTATCCTTTTGTCCTTCTAAATCAAAACAACATTTAACAACCATGTATGACATCACACAGAGTCAGAGTGGCTCATTACAAATGTGACTTATTGTGGTATCCACAAGTGACTTGTTGAGTCAAACAAGAACTGCATTACTATCGTCTTAACATGTGGAAGTTTCATATATGGCAGGTTTCAAGCCACTAAAACATTTTGGTTCAGCTTGTTCTGGTTAAATGTTGAAAGTCTGAAGTCTGACAGCTATTTCGTGCTTGAAATCAGTGTTTACTGTTTTAATCATTAGACAGCAATATGTCCTGTATGTTAGCAGAGAGCTTTGTATTGCCAAAAAACATTAATTGTGTCTTCGCTGTCAAGACCAGATATTATGGAAGAATAAATGAAGCTACACCAGTGTAACTCTTTAACTGATATCAACTTGTTGCAGAACTTAAGTGTTCCATTCTTACACTCACAAACTAAATCTGACCTCATAATTGCTGAGTCACTTTAACATTGATTTACACAAAAGCAGACTACATTTCAGTTACCTGCTAAATTTCTTCAGCAAGTTTCCCAATGCTCATTTCTACCGTCACTTGTAATTGTGATCTACAACCAAATTTCTTACTGATTGGACGTTGCTTCCTGCAGTAACTTCTGGAACTAAAACTTTACTTGCTCCTAAAGTTTTATACAGTAACCTTTATTTTTGTACTTGCTCACGTTCATTTATTACAAACTGGCTTTCTAGTTGGTTGACAGGCTGTTGAAGCATTTTCTGTCCTCCTAGTAAACTAAACTAGTGTACGCAAACAACAACGTGACTTCCATTTCTGGGTTCTCACCAATATTTTCCAATGACTTCAGTGTTATTTTTAGACAAGTTTAAAGTATAAATCTAGTGATCTGACTAATGTACTCTAATACAACAATAAACAAATTTAGAGAGGTGTTGATTGAACTTGCTGTATACAGATATAGAGAAGTCTTTCTGTTTAGTCTTCTTCCAATGATATAAATAGGGTGGACAAAATATTAGCGATATCTGTCAGCATAAGACAATACAATCTAACAACAGTAGGAACAGCAGTCTCCATCTCTCTTAAAGAAGGAAGTACAATCATTTTCCCCCACTGTATTTGTTTGACAGAGCTACAAGCAACTAGTGATTTCACACACGATATTTCTTATGTAAAATACCAGCCAGAATTTTTTTATACTGTGAATTTACTTTTTTTTTTTTGCCATTCACAAGAACCTGGAGGGAATCACTGCTCCAGCATTACATTAAAGTGCTCACAAACACGAATGTAGTTAAATCTGTCTTACCTGTAGGTACTGAGGCGACGGTGGGGCGTACACACAGCTGTTCATTATGTAAGTACGGCAGTTGAGCTCCTGACCCTTTGTCTTCACTGATAGCTCCACAGGACTGTACGCACCTAACGTCACATTCTCTTGACTGAGCGTGTGCACGTATGCACGCACATAAAACACACACACACACGGTAGATGTCAGTTTCACAGGAAAACATTCAATGAAATCCATGAGAGGCCATTAAAAAACCTGGTAAAAGGAACATTTACCTGTCTAGAGACTCCAGATCCGACATGTTCATCCTCCACACCACACCCCACACCTCGTCCCCTGGACTGTGCTCTATGGTAGCCACACCTCCATGCCACCGGTCACTGGCGAGGCCTTTATGGTTCCCAAAAACCAATTTATAGTCCTGAAACAGAGGAAAAGAAATATATATATTTTAAAAGTGGGTATAGTTTATATGGCACAGAATGTTTGGGTTTCTAATTTCAGGCTGTACCTTGAGCCTGGCCACACAGTGTACTGTCGCAGAGGGATTCTTGAGCTGGAGCCGCTCCTTCAGCAGGTTACTACCATATGCAAAGTAAAGGAAGGTGTGGTTATTCTCCATGTTGTCATCAGTCTCTGTCTGGAAGAAGATGAGATCAACAACGGTTGATGTGAGAAAGATTGTGAGCAGTCAAAGTAAGGCAACGATGGAGAGCTGAGTTGAGCCACAGCTGGGTGTTTGGAGGAGTCGAGGGCGGAGGCGAGAGAGCGTGAGTTGCAGAGTGACAGAAATGAAGTACTGGCCTTCCAGCACCAACACACCATTCTCATGCTAATCCCCTCCACTGCCACTGAGCCCTATTCACACTCACAATACACAGTTTGCCTCATGTGTTGAGCCAACAGCACCGAGCCATAGAGGTAACACAGACACATACACTCATGCACACTGGCGTACACACATATGAGACCAAAGATACAAAATACACAATTCAGAAAAGATCATCCTGAGTGGACGCCACTCTCAGATACCTCCGAAGCATTAATCCAAAGGGCATTCATCTAAAATAGACAATACATACACAGTCTACGAGCTATAGAATATAAATTCATACTTTTCCTACAAGATAAGATTAAAAACAGACAAGCCGTAAAATCAAAGGATTTCAGTATATTTATAATTGTAGAAAAATATCCAGTAGAACCTTCAGAGTCATACGAGAGCTCACAAACAACATAGAAGCAACAGTTTATAACAGTCTCTCCAACAACTGGACCTTTACTACTTGTTGTGTGTGCTGCAGATGTAAACTGTCATTTATGTATATGACGTTTTCAATGTGTGTTGTACTTTACATTGCATCACGTCATACGTAAGACCAAATCTGCTAAATATAAAACCAGAGCTGTACCTGTTTCTAAATGAACAACTAATGTTTTAATGTTCTTGTTTTTGCCTGTTTGTTTACCGACTTGAGAAATGTGGAACTGATTGGATTTATTACGACTGATAACAACATACTACTTACATTTGGAATGACATGCCACTTATTTCCTCCACTATTGTATTGATTTATTGATAGTCTGTAGATGTTTGATTGTTTTCAATGCTGATTAACTCTCTTGTAAAGAGTTCTAGTCATTTCATTGATTAATATTTAACTGTGTGGCAGGGCGGTAGAATTTTTGGCTTAAAGAGTTGCAGACAATGCCACCTGGGGAATTTCACCCCAGGAAATAGTTTGTGTAGGTGGACAGGTTACACAGGTTTGGTTCACACACAAGAGCTGGAGACGTGATTCCCAAGCTATGATTTTATTTCTAACACAATTTCTAATAAAATTTTAGCTAACCGTTATTAAAAAGAATTTACAAATGCTGAGAATGCTGTGAAACAAAAACAAAAAAACTAAATATACAGAGGGACTAGGGAGCCGTGATGCAGACGGCTCTACAACTCACAAATACGGTGACCATCACAAGCCGGTCCAAGGCAGAGGGCGAGCACTACCACCAGCCAACAATGCGACATGCTGCAGACACAATGCGTATAAACAGGCTGTATGCACCAGTGATCGGTGGAACGAGGAAACCGTGCTTACTGTTTACACAGCAGAGTGTCCAACAGCTGCCAACAAGACGGCGCAAAACCACAACGTAGCTGCACGCCAAGCGAACCACGACAGAGTACCAACGCTGAGAAGGGAATGAGACACAGGTGCGTGCCGGCGCATAAATGCATGCCATTTCCCCAGCACCGCCCACCAATCAGACAAGGAGCAGTGAGGGAGAGAGAGCGAGGACAAAACAATCCATTCTGCTACATTCTACCCCTGGCTTTTGAATCGTCTCCCCGATGATTAACCACACGAATGGTAGTCAGTGGACTATGACCAAGGTTTAAAGAGGGCTAACTGTGCTGAGGGTCATCAACTCTGTGGCCTACATGCCCAGCGGACCGAGGAAGATGGTGCACATTAGGGTGTTGACCAGCATTGGAGTCGCCAGTCCGGTGCAAAACCTGCTGACGAGGCCCAGGTTGAGCGCATGGCGAAAGAGGAGCGGTCCCCGACGCTGGATCTCTCTGTAAGAATGATGTACATGGAATAACCTGAGTTTCAGATGGCGCAACAACTGCAAGACCTGGAAAGGGGGCAGAGCGGGGATCCAATACAGAAGGTGCCAAGGGAGTTTCCGGCACAAGGAGCCATAGGTCCTCCTCACTGGAGTCACAGTCAGGTTGGGCCAGAGCAGGCAGAGATGTGGCCTGAGGAGGGTTGACAGGGGACTCAGACCCAACTTGGGGCTTCATCATGTCTCAGTGGACATGGTGCACCTTCTGGAGGTCATCCAGCAGGGCGACAGAGTAAAAAGCACCCTCAGCAGGTGCCTTTAAAATTTGGGAGACTACCAAATTCCAGATACTTGGATCTTATGGCGACCCCTAGCGCCATGATCCCGAAGATAGACAAGTTGGCCCACCGTCAGAGGAGTGTCTCGGACCCACTGGTCTCTTTTCAGTGAGTTGCAGCAGCTGAAAGTCGCTAACGAGCACCCTCAAAGGCCAACCTTACTCTGGCCTTGTGCTCAGTCACCCAGTCTTGGACCTCTCCGGGAATTGGGTTGTGAACCCGCCCCAGGAGGAAGTCTATGGGAAGCCGTGGCTCCCGTCCAAACATTAAAAAGAAGGGAGACTCTCCAGTACCCTGATGAGGCGTGGAATTGTAGCAGAACAAGACCTGCGGAAGACAGGAAGCCCAGTCATGCTTCCATGTGATCGGGAGCATACGTAGGAAGTTATGGAGGGTTCTGTTAAACCTCTCACACCGCCCATTGCCTGCCGGATGATATGGGGTCGTGCAAGATTTTGACACGTTATCAAACTACAAAGTTGTTTTATCAAGGAACTCTCAAAACTCCTACCCTGATCCGAGTGAATGCGACTCGGAACTCCAAGTTTGAAAAACCACTCATTCAGAAGTACCTGGGCTACAGTGGAAGCCTGTTGGTAGTGAGTGGGGACCGCCACCGTGTACTTGCTGAAGATGTCAGTCAGCACCATGCCCGTCTCAAACCCGTTTCGAGAGGGTTCCAAGACTGTAAAGTCTACAGCCACAATTTCATTGGGCCTGGATGCAGACAAATGACTCATAAAACTATGTGGCCCAAGGGTAGAGTCCTTTGCTACTTGGCAGCGCTCACACGCCTGGACCCACTGCTTTATGTCAGAGGTCATACCTGGCCAATAGCAGCGCTCTCGAACCAATTCCAAGGACCTCTCAATGCCTTGGTGGCCATGTTCGTGGTGCAGCTGTCTTAAGGTCTCACTTTTAAGGACAGCAGACATTTTTTTACTGTTTCTCTTGGTATACAAGAATGGGGAGAGACCTGCAGCAAAGGGCCGTGAGCGGAAGTCGAACCCACGGCCACTGCATTGGGGAACTATAACCCCTATTTATGGGTTGCCTGCTCAATTAGGTGAGCTAAAGGGTTGCCTAATAAAACCTTTTTAACTTGACCCGTAAGTTCAATAATGAAATTACCTACTTATGATATTACCTCTTTGGTCACGAAGGAGATGGCCGTGGATTCAGAAAGACATGTAAAACAAAATGCCAAATTGGCTGCCAGGAAGTTATCACTGTCAACTGACAACTTCCTGATCCTACAAAATAAAAGCTTTTCAACATAAATGTCCACCCACAATTTTGCCGTGAAGGCAACACGCTCCCTGCCTGGCCTCTGTGAGGTCACTACTTGACTGACTAACTAAGCAGATTTTTTTCCAGTGTCCCTGATCCTAGGTCTTTAATTCCACATCTCCTACTCTTTCATCTTCTCCTGGGAAGGTGTTTGGGATTTTTGGCATTGGCCAATTGTTGCGTGCAGGTTGATTGTCTCTCAGAAGAACAATGTCTCCTTTTTGCAGGTTTTGGAAGAACTTTGTCCATTTCTTCCGGCTGTGTAATGTAGACAGATACTTTCGACTACAATGGCTCCATTTGTTGGCCAGAGCCTGTATTTGTCTCCACTGTTTGATGAGGAGGTCTTTGTCTGTTAAGTCCAGTGGTGGA